CAATGTCAAAGTTAAAAAAATTCTCAAAAATTTCGTTTTCGAGTTTTTTTAATTTATTCGAAGGGGGATGTTTATCAGAGTCTTAAACTTTGTTAATCATCAATCGAGTTTCCACTTGCTGCAATTACGACCTCCACACGCTTCCGGAATGCACGGCAGGTTCTAATAAAGTAGTCTAGGTCCATTTCTCTCCAGGTACGGGTCAATGTTTGTCTGAAGCTTGCTGTACTCGGGTGGCGTTTAGAACAGGCCTTGGCCTTCATGACGCGCCATATTGAATAATCCAGCGAATTAAGATCGGGGCTGGATGGCGGCCACATATCCTTCGCCCAGAACGGAAGATGTTCCTGCAACCACTTCTGAGTGCGGTTCGAGGTGTGGCACGGAGCCTCATCTTGTTGAAATTCAATATTTGGCTTCGGACCATACTGTTCTTTGATCGACGGAAGAACATACTTACTTAAAATCCCGATGTAGACCTCCGTGTTGACCTTGTCGCCTTCTGGAATGAACACAGGGTCCATTTTTTTTGCCATCGGAAGCCACCAATCCAAACACCATAACGCTAGCAGGATGCACGTTCTTGTGATCGTCGGCCACGTCTTTTACCGGAAGAGAACTAATATACCGGTCGGTTCTGGAATTTGATACGGGATCGACGGTAAATATGCTCTCGTCGGTGATCAGGATTACCGGATTGTTTCGCTTAAGGAAGTTCAAGATTTCCTTGCATCGTTCGACTCGTAGCTCCCGGATGCGGTTGACATGTGAGTTTTTTTTCCCTCGACTTCGCCCCGCAATCTTCCTTTACGATCTTCCGTGCCGTAAAGTCACTGATCCCGTGTTCCCTTGGCCATTTTCCTTATTGAACGCACTGGATTCACCCGAATCTTCCTTTTGATAGCAGCGATAACCCTCGGAACCCGAGCTGACTTCGGACGACCTGTGGCCACGTTTGCGGATAGTTGTCCTTTCTTTTCTCGGTCTAAAACCCTTTTGACGGTCCACCGGGACACTCCCACGGCGATTGAAATGTCTTTTTGCGACATTTGCGCGTGGGACAAATCACGAATACGCTGCCACTTCGTCATGGTGCAACTGTCAAACTAAGTAAATCATTTTCTTTTATGCACAGCCTACTACGGTATGAGCTATAGGTTACGTGCATGCAAAGAAAACCAAGGCATTGTATGCACAGGTGAAACGGGAACCTTATTTGTACGATGGTGCAAACATTATCACGCATACGGTATTGCAACACTCGCCTGAATATTGCATCACCAAAGAAAAGTCTATATTTTAACTAAAATTTAAACAAATTCACTGTATCATTGTTAAATTATTGTAGTAAACAGTCAGAAAGCTCCTAATTAGACTAGGAAAGTGTAGCAGAGAGTGATGGTTCACGGCATAGGCGTAGCCAGAGGGTGGAAGGGAAGGGCGACTGCACCCCCCCTAGACTCAGCAACACAAAGGCTTTCGGTGAATGGCGTTCGGCAAATTGACATTTGGCCAAATTTTCCATAGTAATTTTTTTTTCGCTCCTCCCTAGCTCAAAACCTGGCTACGCCATTGGTTCACGGTAGAGAAGTTAGATATCACTATGGATAGTACTGAATTATTTCGAGTTAGAATCATTTCAAATTTAATGATCTTTAGTTGATAAGTTTTTAATCAATTTATGAAAAATGGTAAATCATTAAATATACATTTTCCGCCATAAGAATAATATCGCTTCACTGATAATCAGACCTGAAAAGTTAGGAATCCCTTGAGATTGTTGCGATTAAATACAGAAAAGTTTGAATTCATTTGAATTTGATGTGAATCAGACAAAGACAGTTTGGAATCACTTGAATTTGATGTAAATTAGACCTGAAAAGTTGAAATCACTTGAATTGGATGTGAATCAGTTAAGAAAAGTTTGGAATCATTTGAATTTGATGTGAATCAGACCTGCAAAGCTTTCAATCGCTTGAAATCGATGCGCATCAGAACAAAAAAGTAAAGTATCACTCGATTTCGACTGTTTATATTGTAAACTATTTTCTATCGGTGTCTGCACATTTCTCAAATTTTCCTGAATATTCTGAAGTGTTTTTTGGACCCCAACTATCGACCGATCAACTCATGGACCGAGGACCAACGAGTTACTTTCCTTCCAAAGGAAGGCATGATCAAAGATGTTATGCTCCAGAATATCCCAGCGGTGCCGACTGGGATTGAACCTAAGCCTGCGGGGGTGAGAGGCAATCACGCTTAACACTTCACCACCGGCGCTACTTTCTGAAGCGAGTTCAAACATAGCAGATGCCAATAAATTAATATTCTAAAAGTGGTATAAGGCGAATGATGTCGATTTCGTGCCGAAAGATCTGAACCCGCCAAACACTCCGGAACTGTACCCAATAATTTTATATTTTAAATAGATTTTAAACGGTACACACTTTATCATTTTTAAAAGCAGAGTGAAATGGTGAACTCTGAGATAGATATGAACAAAACATTTGGTTTTCCCATAGTAAATTCCATCAGCCATGGTAAAAACACTGAACCCTTTTGCACGGGTGGCAGTTTTGCCTACAAACACACCACCAAGAGCATTGAGTTTTACGCTCTGTACCAGTGCTGGATAGAAAACACCAAACGCAGCGAACAAGGCACCGGTACCGGTGCCCGTGCATAATTGTTTGCACCGGTGTATGGATGCTTCGGTAAGCACCAAAGCCGAGTGTTTCTGACTTCGGGAAACACCGCAGCCGAGTGTTTTCGATTTCGGAAAACACGCTTGATGCTCGTAAGAATTTTCTTTAGGCGACTTCAGAAAGATTATCGTAGCTATTTAACGCGTTTAGCATAATCTATATCGAGCAGAGTTGATAGACGAGTGGTAAAAGCATTTCTTTCATGATGCCAATGTCCATGGTTCGTTTCCAGTCAGTCTGTGTCCCCCTACCAGTTTTTTTTTCTTGTCAACATTATTTTCATGAGGTAAATCTATAAAAATTCATTTCGATTTCTTTTGGCTAAACAGCATTACGCAATATTATAAAGCTTATGAGCTCAAGGGATCATCTACCAGGATTATTAAAACTACACAAATCACCTACTTCGGAAGAGCGTGTTGCTTTTGTCGTCCACCCACTGGTATTTCTTGGCTTTGCATTAAATAATTTAGCTGATTGATTTAATTTGATTAGAGTCAATATAATAATCATAACTTACCTCCAACCAAACCAAACAGCTCAACTGATTGAATAATAATAAAGATATATGGGGTGTTTACATAACATGTAATATATTATATGCTGGTTCACTATTAGATTATAAATAATATAAATAGCTCAACCAACTCAATTAACTAGCACGAATTTCAGAGGCTCCTGTAATCTCATGCTGGTAGATGCTGACGTCCTGTTTACATTATGCTGACTATTTATAAGTACAGCTTTAGTTCACTAGCATCAGCATACCAGCACAGATGTAAACACCCAAACAGCGGTGGGTGAACAGAACTACTCACCATTCATGTAGGGTAGAACAGCCCGAAATGCACCCCGGGCCAAACGCCCGATTTGATTTTTCATAGCTATTCCACTATTAATTTTGCCGAAATGCTAGGTAAAGTACTAAACTAGCACTGTAACTTGCCAAATTTATGAATTAAAAACGGGAATGCTATGAAAAATCGCATCGAGCGATTTCCGCGAGGTGCATTTTGGGCTGTTTTCCCCTAAATAAAAACAACTCGCTCAAGAAGGATCGCATTCTACCTTCTAGGTACTAGCTCCATATCAGCCATGGTAGCTGTTTTGTTGTTGTTGGGTATAAGTTATCATTATTAGATTCACTCAAATCGTGTGAAAACAATCAGCTCAATTAGTTAACAAAAAGCCAAGAAATACCAAAATCTATGAAATAAGATGACCTTTTGAAAATAATGTAGACAGAAAAAATTGGTGAGGGACATAACGGAATCGAACACCATGGACATTGGCATTATGAGACCAGTGCTTCGACCACTTATCTATCAGCTCTAGACGCGTTGAAAAGCTACCTTGTGGAACAGCAGAATCTTTCATAAGTCGCCCAAAGAAAACTCCTGCTAGCAGCAAGCGTGTTTTCCGAAATGGAAAACACTCGGCTGCGGTGTTTGCCGAAGTCAGAAACACTCGGCTTTGGTGCTTGCCGAAGATCCATACACCGGTACCAGTGCCTTGTTTGCTGCTTTTTGTGTTTTCTATCGAGCACTGGTACGGAGCGTACAACTCAATGCTCTTGGTGGTGTGTAAAAAAGGCAGTACGCAGTGTAGTGTTGCGTTTAGACATGCCTGATTTCCATATAAACTTCATCAGGATTGTGCCCAGTCAGTTCCTTAATAAATGACTTCGAATTTTGGGAGGCTAATCAGAACCTGATTTGAATCCATTTGAGCACCGTGTAGCGAAAATTTCAAATTTTACGTCTGTCCAATGCACAGCGCAGGTGCAGATATGGTATAGTGTTTGTCAGTAACTTTAAACATTTCTAACCATGCGTGGCAAACAGTGCCAATGAGAGTGCCCAGGTGTGCCCAACTGTATTTTTGGCACACTGTGCGGAGTGACCACCACCCTGCTTTGAGTACAGTTGTCTTGCCCCTTACTTTTGGATCTTCAAGAACTCACAGAGTACTGAAAATTTAGGAAGCATAAGAAGTCTTCAAGTTTTTTTTTTGAGTTAGTTAGTTCCACAACTTTTCACAGGGTTGCAAATATATCAGAAGTTGTATAAACGTCCAGAACTTTCAAATGCTTCTAGAGTAGAGTTTCTGGTATTTCGAGAGTTCTGGTCATTTCTAGAGCGGTTGGTGTTCTTGATGTTTTTACAATTTGAACAGTCCGTAGTGTTTCGGGACGGATTGGTATACTTATCGGCATTCTGGGATTTCCAACAGTTATTTTTCTGTATTAACAATCGTTTGTAACCCCGTCTCATGTTCTCTTTCTCCCTTTCCCAGCTGTGATCGGAGGCGCCGTAGTCGGCCTGCTGTGCGCCATCCTAGTGGTAATGTTCATCGTCTACCGGATGCGGAAAAAGGACGAAGGAAGCTACGCCCTGGATGAACCGAAGCGATCGCCGACGGCCAACACCTACGCCAAGAATGCCAACAATCGGGAGTTCTACGCCTGAGACTACTCGATCGACTCCAGTGATGGTGATTTGTAAGGTGTGCGTAAGTACGTGCATCGACGTTGCTCTCCTTAAAACAACACACAACAAAAGCAGCCTACTTGTTGCCGAGTGAAGAAGAAGAAGAAGAAGAAGAAGAAGAAAAAAAAAGAAGAGGACAAACAAAAACAAATAGTAAACACACGCGTTAGACTAGTGGATCTAAGGAAGCTGCGGGTAGATTGCTTTTCCGAACCACTTTCCGAGAATTATTCTGACCAGTGAGCAGAATTTTTTAGAAAGTATCACACCATCGAGAGTTACACACAACGGAGTCACAACTGAACTGTAGAGTCGGGTCCGAACGGACGGACGAAGAAAAACAAAATTCAAAGAACAAAATTTAACGGTGAGATGATATCTTAGTAGGCGATTGATTGATTGTTTACTTTTGGTGAACGAAAGCGAGAGAGAGAGAGAGAGAAGGTAGGCACGGGGGGTGCGGTGCACCCGGTGCCTACCGAGCGCGATAAGATTCGACTTTTCATTTCCAGTCTAATATTTTTCTCGATTCTCGTTTTTTGTTTAGGACGGAATAGTAGAAATCGTGGCAACTGTTTATTTTTTTTAAAGTAATATAACGTAATGTAACGTTGCAGCATTTATTACGGATGGCAGGCATATTTACTCATTCTCATACACAGTGAAAAACGCTGAAAATTGAAAACAGGCAAAGTTTTAATGTGTAAGGAAAAGGCTAAAAAAACGTTTATATAGGAGTAAATAGATGTTACATATTTATAATGGCATGCTAAATGGAAAAGTGGAAGCAGATCAGAGAGCAAATAAAGTTTATTATTTTTTTTTATTAATCATACGCTAGCCTTCTTTTCTGTTCATGTGTCAAGGAAACTATTTTTATTCGAAAACAAATTTGAGAACAAATATAGGAGAAATCTAAAACATTGAATAATAAATCTGTAAGTGAAGAAAGATGATTGATACTTTATTGTTAAAGTATGGTAATTATAATCCATAAACGTAACGGAGGAAAATGAAAAATCTTTGTATAGGAAAAAAGTATATAAAAAGCTATTATTATTTATAAAATTAACTATAACTCTCTTTTTTTTTAAATCAAAGCAAAATCAGTAATAACTAACGGAAACGAAAAAAAGAAAGGATTAGTTACAATTAATTCTGATAGCAATAACACAAACCCCCATATAAGGAAGGAAAATGTTTTAAACAACTTGTCTTTTCTGTTGAAAACGAACCGCGAATAGAGCAAGAAGATTTTAGCGAAAAACAAAACGTAAACAAACGGTGAATTGATCAGCAACTTTTGTTATTATGTGTGTCTCAACTCGGGTAAAAGTGCAAACAAAGTAAGGGGGAAAATCGGGCGAGAGATGGACATTTGCCTATTCAGTCCCGGTTGGATTTGGTCGATTTGTGAACGAGGTACGATGTTTGCTTTGATTTGTCACGCACGGGAATTGAGACAAGTGGTCCCAGAAACGGATGGTAGCTTGGAATGAAGCAGATTTTTAAATACAAGCATAGTAGGTAGATACTTTTCTCAGCAGGCGTGTGAGTTTTACTTTTTGAGTTGAATGAGTTTGACTATCTGCGTAGAGGATGGATATTGAAACGAGGTTTTGGTCGCCGACTTAGGAGTCGTTCCGCAATTCGACGACCCCGGGGAAGGCAAACTGTCTGTATTCAACTGAACTAAGAGGAGAAAAATTCGATTTATCAGTAAAAGAAACAGATATCATACATACAACTAGCTTTTTATTAAATTATAAACTGAAATATTGCAAAAAAAAAAAACGTATGTATAAAACAAAAACTGGTCGCAAAATTTGCTGTTATAATTATCATTGTAATTAGCATAGTGAACAAAAAAACGATGTAACGTCATGGATCTAACGTAATGTTTACCCCCATCAAGTAGGCGTTTGTGCCGTGCGAAGCTCCCGAATGAAACCAAGTATTACCATAGCAACCAGATAAACAAATTCTCTCACTCACACTGAGACAAAAATAGAAAGAGCTATATTTTTACTCGTTTTGATCAGCCAAACCTTGCACGTGCCCGAAGAGAAAAAAATGAAAACAAATGTACTCATATTTAGATAAATCTGTATCCATGCTCAGTTTCCGTTGTTTTTCCCGTTACTCAGATATCGCTAACAGAGAAAAGCAAATGTATCCTATATAGTGTAATACCACGCAAAACAAAAAAAAAAAAACAATACACCTACACAACTGCTGACTTAGTAAGATGCGCCTGGAACAAATCCGTATTTGAATGGATAATTTATCATTCTGTACCTAGATGGAGATAATGAACGGAAAAAAGCGAACTCAATAATCAATCACTAACCAAACTCTCTTTGTATTTAATCGCGATCGAAAAATTACGCAAATCGCAAAGAGTAGCGCCGAGACCCCACTCGATCCAGCAGAATCCAATTGCCCGCACAGCAGCGCCACCCCGTCGACGCTGCGGCAGCTTACGGAAGCTAGCAACTTGACAGCTTCCCTCCAACGAACACAAACACGTCCATTCGCAGAAACCTCTGTCCCCTTAATCCACACAGATCCGCAGGCTGCTAGAACGAAACGTAAACAAAAACCAGTGACGTATTGTCGAAGAACAAACAGAACACAAATTGTAAACAAAAACCAAAAACTAACCCCCCTCAGACTAAAACTAGGAACTGAGGAACGGATTCGATGGCCTAATACTGAATTCTCACAAGTTGAAATCCCCTGAAATCAACTTTTCCTTTTTTAAACTGTTTCGCTACGTCACTTTTTAATTTTACACCCCCTGCCCCCGCTCCCCGTAACATGTTAATTTCAAACGCTAACTAGAGACTGATTGTAGGATGAAAGTTATGAAGAAACAAAAAAATAATTATCGAAGCGATACTTCTTGTACCCTCTTGACTTGATTTTGTGCCATTGAGAAAGATTTATGTTTAGCTGACGTGTAACATCCCTCTTCCTTCCACTAATAGAATGCGAACAGGTTAACAAAAAAAAAAACAAAAACCGAACTCGGAATCTCCCGTAGCAATCCCAGTTTGATTGGTGCTTATTCATTTCTCTAAACAACAAATTGCATTTATCATTTTCACTCACATGAAGTATAAATTCGTACAACATTCCGATCGAAAGTGAATGCTTTTCGCCTTGGCTGTCCCCCCTCCCAACAGAAAAATAAAAATTAAGGTTGGGAAGAGCCGAAGGTATTGAAGTTTTGCAGTTTTTTCTTCTTATTTCCACTACTTTTCCCCTATCTTAATCATTTTGTTTTTTTTTTTTAATTAATCAGTGTTGAAGATTTCGATAGAATTAGCTCTTGGAATACACCTACAACAGGCAATGAAAATTGAATAAAAATGCATACAACTACTAACCGCAGAGAGAAAAGGCAACATTAAAGCGAAGAGATCGGAAAGATTGAACCAGTAAAACAAAAGTATCGGATGTATTAAGAGAAAACCTAAAATGATGACAAGAGTAATAAAATCAGCTGAACGTATAGAACAGAGAAAATGCATACAGCAGATTCAGAGAATAAAAAAAAAATAAACAAGCAGAGGAAAGAAGAGAACAGAAATCATTAGAAATATTAACTAAAATATAAGTTTAATATACAACATCACACACACAGAGAGACAGAAACACACATATGTAAGGGACAATGTAAATAAAGAAGTCTTTACAGTGTAATAAAAGCTATTGGCGTTTTGTTTTCCTTTTGGACGAAAGAATGTCATTGTTTTCATCTATACCCAAACCATTAACGCCGCGAACGACCTCACCCGTAAGATTGATTAGACGACGTTCAAGACCGCGATAGATGAAGCCGGATCGTCAGTAGAAGAGCTTTCACCGTTGCACGTTGGGATATTTGATAAATCTAGCTGGCCAAAACTATGTTTACGTTGTAGCAGTTTCTGATGTCATTTTAATATCTCTATAACGGTACTATGACCATAAACATGGAATATGTTCAGACTAAAAACCAATTACCAGTACCACTCATGGCTGTAACATTGGATAATGAGCGTAACTTTGCACAATTTTTATGTCCTTTTTGTTACACCGGAAAATAGTCCTAAAACCATAGAGGTAACTCTAAGACCACTGGGTCCCGAAGAAAATCATTATTATTTTTGGCTCACTCAGTACCAGAACAACGGTCCCAAGCAGTCCCAAGCTATTTCACTCACCCCTGCATGTTCTGCATGAATCCACACACCCCTGATGTTATCTGTCAAACTTTCATAGCGAATCAAAACAAACATAGTGTAGTAATAGAATTTCAACTAGAATAGGGTACGTTAATCGTTTGCTTGGGACCAATAGGCTACTAAAGTGGTGAGCCAATTTAAAATCGTTAGTTTCGTATTGATTGTTGCTAAAACTGCTACAAAAGATGTTTTTTCACTTCTAAAAGGGTGTTATGGTCATTTGCATGGTATATTTTAAGATTTATACCAGTTCACAGTCGTAAATGGGAGTAGCTTTGTTTTGCTAACTGCTGAGTAACTGTCCATCACTTTTTTCCCCTTTTTTGTTACACTTAAAAATAATGTTAAAACTGTCACCGAACATGTGTTGACACCTTCATAATGGTTCTAAGACCATGGCATATTTTCATTCAAAAAATCAACTATCAGTACCGTGCATGGGTGTAACTTTGGATATTGAGAGCAACTTTTCACCATTTTTACACCGTACACCAGAAAAAGTCCTAAAACTGCTACTAATGATGTTTTGCCACCTATATAATGGTACTATGACCACAAGCATAATATATTTTCAGACCAGTACCATACATTGGTGTATCTTTGGTATACGAAGGTAACTCCCATAACTTTTACTAGCAATTAAGAGTAGCTGACAAGCATCGTGCTGCAAAAAATAATAATAAAAAGAAAAACGTTCAAGGTTAACAGAAACCAGCATATTTAATAATCACAAGCTATAAACAAGCACAACAATACTATGAACACATCATCTAATCTGAACATGCTAAATACCACGGTTCTCCTTCAGATGAAGTTTCCGTGCTTTCCGACAATTCATCCGAATTAGAGACTGTATAAAAATATCAACTTTCTTTCAAAGTTCTTCAACAACATTTCCAAAGACTCCTTTAAGAATGGTTTGGATTTCTTTCGTGGTGTTTGTCTCATTCCTAGTAAAAACGGAAATTTACATGAAGAAAGTAGAGGATCCGAGTTTACAGGGTGTTCAATAAGTTCGAATACAACTTTTCATCGTTGTGCGCACCATGTGCAGTCTGTGCATTGGTATTGGTGTCCCGCATATATACATAGGCTAACCGACGCGCACAGTATCGACTTGTTGTCATTTGTTGTTTGTTTACCGCGCACGATGAAGGAGTACCGCGACTACCAAACTGATACTTTCTTGGCACGCAGGTCAGGAGTTCGTGTTTTATGATGAGAAACTCTTTGTCTTGCAACAGCCGCACAATGTCCACTATGATCGGCTGTGGGAGCCGACGTTGACCAGCATCGTCCCGTCGCAAATAAACAACCCACGATTCCAGAGCTCCGCGTCGGTGATGGTTTGGGGAGGGGGCGTATCCAGGCGGGGGAAGCTCCCGAGAAAAACGTGAAAATCACCGCCACTTACTATAAGACGACACGAACGACAACATCCAACGATGCGTAAACTTTGCAGCCTCTCGGGGTATGGTAGTTCGAAGTACCTTTTTCCCCCGCAAGGATATCGACACAGCCACCTGGAGATCACCTGACCAACACATAGAAAACCAAATCGATCACGTTCTAATCGACGGGAAATTCTTCTCCGACATTATCAACGTAGTTAGGTTCAAGCTCTCGCCACGACCAGACGTTCTGTAATCGAGCTCCGTGTTAAATAGTTTTCGGTTTCACTCTTTCCACACTTCGATGTGTGAAAAATCTTAGCGTCAATTACTGACAACAATCTCGCTGTCCGCATATCGTATGCACTTCCCTGCGACAATGACATCTGTGAGAACTCGTGAAAATACCTTCAAGGTACTCCTATCCACCTTCCCAAAGCGTCCATCGTTCGAAGAACTACACTTGTTTGTGTATCAAAATCTCGGGTTGCGATTCGACCAAGTACTACGTCTTCAAATGAACCACGCACAAAACTGCGTGCATGTCAAGTGCATTGACCTCAAAACAGCCCAGGACACGGTGATTCATCATGACGAACGACATGAGCTGGAGGTGAACAAAAATAAGTACAAGGTGCGACTTCAGATGGATGATGGGGGTGTGAAAATTAAAGTCCATGATCTGTCTGAAAACGTGACGAAGGACGAAATGATTGCTGCCTTAAAGCAGTTCGACGATGTATTGAGCACCAAAGAGCAAAGCTGGAGCGAAAACTTTGTCAGCAAAGGGACCGCTTCAGGAGTTTGGGTCGTCAAGATGAACTTGCGGTGACACATCAGATCATTCATCACCATCCAAGGAGAACAAACTTTGGTGACTTATCGAAACCAGCCTCAAACGTGTCGACATTGCCAGAATCAGTCTCATCCAGGCAGTACACGCGTCGAAAATAAAAAACGAGCGCAAGCATCAAACGGTCCAGGTCCAAGCACACAAGGAGCAAACACTGGGTCATCACTGGCCACTTTTGCAGCTGTGTTAAACAATGAAGCTCCACTGGCTCCAACACCTCCGTTCCCGCGGTTCTTCTCCAGGCGTATACAATAGGCAACACACTCGAACGACCAAGCCAGCAAATTGTCTCCTCCGTTTCATCAGATGGCCCCCTCGACCAGCATAACAATCATTCCAACAACTCAAGTGCCGTGGAAACAACCGAGCACGATCACGAAATGGATCAAAACGGAATGGGGAAAACCAACACCAACGAAACAACCGTGGACCAACAACAGGAGACGATAACTGGAGAGCGATCCACCCAACAGCTGCCAAATGCTGAGGGGACCAGCAATGTTCAACAAAACGTCGAAAAAACTGCTAGCTCTGGTGA